GAATATAGAATTTCATACTCTTCAGTAATTTGTTAACTGTTTTGCAAGTTGTTCCCATCAAGATTCAATTTGTTGATTTAGTGTACTTGTTCTAAATTGATAGCACTCATTCAAAGAAACATTTGAATCAGTTGCCTGATGTAGTTTGAGTTGTGCAGCTGCAATCATTGAAGTTTCAGTTCCTCAATCTGAATAAATAACCTGAGAAAAAGTATCAGTGGTTTGAAGAACATCAAGAAATTGTTGAAGAACAGAAACAGTGATACAGTTTGTGATTCCAATATATATTCATACTATATATTAAGAATATGCATCAATTACTACATAGATATCAATTTCCCAATGTTGAAACTTGCAATAACCATCAATAGACTAAAGATAATTTGATCCAGGAACAATGTAGGATCCTCAGTGACATTGAAGATCATATAGTCAATGTGTAATTCCATTTAGATTGAGCAACTGAACTGTTTTGAATAGACAATCTCTGATTTTATTAGTATTATACTAATCATTATATTAATTAAAATATACTGTGAAATGCTATGCCCCTGCTGTCTAAAATGAGTATACAGATGTCCTCTTCCAAAACTCTGAATAAATCTACTGTCAAGCTCTTTCTGTACAGTAGATATAAGCTCTTTCTGCATCTCATCATTCTCATAGTCATCTCTTCGATGATGAAGTTTCAATTGCTGCTGAATTTAACAAAGCTCATGTATAGAAAGTTGAGACTCAGAATGCTTTTGTTGAATAACTGATAGAATATCAGCATCCTGCAAGCCTCATGAAAACAATTCTTGAATAAGATTTTGAATTGATTCATCAGCTTCCCATTTCTTGATTTTTTTAATATTCCATTTTCAAAAACAATGAATAAGAGTTGATCGACTAACTTCAAGATTATGATCTCATTTTAATTGAGAGATAATATCTTGTTGAGTTAGATTGTATTGATGAAGATTAATAATAATATCTTTGTGAGAAAGAAGATATGAATAACCGGACAGAGGCATTTTAAAAAAAAGTGAAAGAAAAAGTATTTATTATACTAAAATAAAGAAAAAATGAATAAATAAATGAATAAAAATATCATAATATCATAAAAAAGTAAATAAAAAAATCAAAACAAACAGATAATGCACTAAACTAAATTAGCTTGCTTTAACATAAAAAAAATTTTCAACAAAAAACAGATTAGTAGAATAATTGCTATAATCATAAAAACAAAAAAAAAAAAAAAAAAAAAAAAAAAGTTAATTTTCAAACTTAAAAAGTATGCACTCATCCAGGCTCCATCTCATTTGCATAAATTCCTCTGAAGTTATTTCCTCTTTCAAAGCTCTATAAGTCTGTTTATGAGCATTAATGTCCTTTTCTGAATCTTCAGTCTTTTGCTCACTTCATCATTTCTTTGCCAAATTTGAGTCAATTTGTTCTGCACAAAGCAGCATTTTAAAAACAGAAAGCTCCTGATTTGAAATTTTTTTTAAAAATTGATGATGACTGACAGTATTATTGAAAGAATGATGTCAGAATTTTTGAAAAAGAGAATTGCTGATATCTTGTCATGAGAGAATCCACTGCTTGTATAAAACAGCAGCAAGACTTCCTCCTTTTTTCATCAGTTTCACCTCTTCCTCATACACAGCCTGGGAATCTTCCTCAGTTGGCATATTTTCTTTATCAAACTATTTTTCATCTTTCAGCCGCCATTTCACTTCTTGCATAGTGTCCTCAGAATGTAATAAATGATTCCATGCGGTGAGCCTGTGATAAATCATTAGAATGATTAATATAATGATTAGTAGAATATAGAACTTACTTTTCACTTGATGTTGAGATATCATCCTGTCTCTGCTCTAGCATCAATGCTGTAATCCCTGTGCTAAATTTATATTCTATTAATATTTATATTAACAAGATTTCAAGATTTGCTAACTATCTTTTTTTTATGATCTCTGTTCTTTTATCCTCAATCATCTTCTTTTGATCTTCAGTATTTGCCTCTCTGAATGCATCAGTATTTTTTAACTGTTAAATATGATAATTTACTTCTGCACAATCTGCATTCTTCATCTGTTCAATAGTGACTTCTTCCTCATTCATTTTTTCTCATTGTTTCATTGCTCTTTTTGTGTGAGGGTTAATCAATATTTCTTCTTCAGCTTTTCATTTGTGGTCAGCTGTGGCTTCAGGCTTTGGTCCGCAGCATGTTATTTTGTTAGAATAAGAAAAAAACTGATCTTGAAAGTAGGAAACAAAGAATCTGGTGCAGGAAGTAGTTGATTGATACAATGATTGATAGAATAAAAGACAGACAGGCAGCAGAGCAGAAGTAGTGAGATGACAGAAAGAAGAATTGAAAGAATTGAAAATTAATGATGATATTCTTTGTGATGTATTGTTGCATTCACTTAATTGCCTATTTGAGTGTACTTGTGTTGTTGTATTATTCATCAACTGCATATAATCACACACATAACTGCACACTCACTTCAAAGATCTTATCTCTTTGCTCTTTTTCTTTCTCAATCTTTTAATCTTCTCATCTATCTCATTCTACACGCCTCCCCCACCTCCCTCCCCTGCAGAAATTTTTTAAATTATCTTCTTATTTCAGCAATGTAAGTGAGCTACAGTTTATTGTTATACTAGTTATTATACTAATCAGTAAATAAGCAGCTAGAATTATCAAATTCATGCAAAAACAGCTCATACCAAAATAATTGCAAGAAAACGCGTTCAACAGAGAGGGGTAAAAAAAATATAGCCAGCAAGGCAAGAAAGGGGGGAAAGCATTCTCCAGGACAGCATGTGGCTCATGTGAAACCTTGACATTACTATCATTGAAAAGCTGGTAGTAAGTAAAAGTATATTCATAGATTTTTTGAATTTGAATATTTAATTTAATTATTTTAGCCACTGCTTTTCATGAAATTCACTGTTATCAATGTGATGTTGAGCTTCTTATTCACAAGCTCTCATTCCAGCATCTTGTCTGTAAAATTGCAACAGATATATATGGTGATCTTTAATTTCAAGCATCTGCAATTCTGGCTTTGCAGGAGGCTGCAGAGGTGGTTTTGGTTGATGAATTTACAAGTAAGAAATGACTGAATTTTACAAGCTAATCTACTAATTATTATACTAATCAATTAGGATGTTAGTGATAAATCTATACGTCATCCATGCTAAACATGTTACCATCTAGGATAGGGATATGAAATTGGTGCAGAGGCTGCGACAAATCATGACAGGCAGTCACATTCCAGGATGTGGAAATGATTATTAATAGTTTCTTGTTGTTTTCATCTTTTATTCACTTTCTTTCACTTTTTGATTTTTCATTTTGATTTTTTGATGATATTCATAAAAATGATTGTTTTTTAATTTTTTTGATTTAATTTTTTTTTAACTTAATCAGAATGAAATGAGATGTTTCTGCAACAGACAAATCTTCATATAAATTTCTATTGGTGAGTGTCTATAAGTGGAATTAAGTAATTACAATGGAAAAACACAAAAAAATCCATTTGACTCAAATGTCACTATAGGCTGCCGTAGATACAGATGTCACAAAAGAAACTAGTCTTGAGGCTCTTGATGTGAATACTGGATAGTGAATTCTTTGTCAAAGCTATAATAACTTCTGTATGTATATGCCTCAGGTTAACATGTCACTCAGCAAGTGTTTTCACAGCTGTAGATGATTCTTGAGATTGGGATTGAGCATTGATGAGATTGTTGTTGTCAGTGATAGCCAAGGCCTTAACATAATCATTATCATATATATGTGATTTTACTGTAAAATAGATTACTTTTGACTCATAATGAGTGTCAACTTTCAACATCCTTTCAACTATTTTATAAATTGAACTCTGAGCTGTGTGAATTGTAGTGAAAATAACACTATTGAGAGCCTTGATGATGAAGTAGAATGAGATGTTCAAATTTGAAAGTTCATATTGAAAATTCTGATTCTTCAACTTAGCAAAAGACACTAAGTTGACAGTAAGATTTAGAACATAATAAACATCATATATAGATATATCTTCTCTGTTAGATTCTAGAATGAGATTTTCAATCTCTTTGACATGACCATATTCATCATCTGCTGTATGAATCTTAAAGTTACTGTTATAGATTTTTCATTGAATAATAGACTGCTTTTCCCCTGTCATATGAAAACTTGCACACATGTTGAGAAATCAAAACTTGAAGATAATGTCAGTGATTGCTGACAGAGTGATCACAGCATTGACAGCAGCAGATTGTATCATTAGAAGAGCAGAAGATTCATTCTTTTTATCATTCTTATTCTTCTTTTTGCTTTTCTGTTTATTGTGACTGCTAATGTTGCTATTTTCTGTGAACTTGATAATCTTATTCTTATTTGTTTCTCTCCACTCTTCAGTGATAAGTTCAGAATGTAATTGTCAACAAGAGTCCTTAATATGCTGATTTGAGTGACAGATCTCACATTTGAAACTATTCAAATTTGTGATATCAGATGAGTTGAAGTTTGACATGAAGAAGATAGCTAAATTGACTTATAAAGATTTGAAACATTTGTTGAACTTGCTTATACAATTCATTAACTGCTTCATGAGATTGTCAATGTCAATATTTTCAATAGAGTTCTGGCTGATCATGTAGAAATCATCCAAATACATCTTAACAAAAGACTTTTAATATTTTTTCAAATCAATAAGGAAAACATCATGATAGAAGTCCTCTAAGTCATTCATCAGTTTCTTATAACATGCAACTAAGTAGTGAAATCTTCTTTGAAATGCCAAGTAATCATTGTTAATGTGTAGAGTAGTCAGCTTCTTCATGACATTGAAATGTTCTTTTGTCAAAGACACTGCATATTCAACATCAATCTTTTTTCATAATGCAGCAGTGTTGTCAGGTTTCAAAACTTCAATGATTATATGTACAGACCTCAATAAGAATTGCAACATACATTGATAGAGTACTTTGATTCAAATATTTCATTTTTCAGTGTTCAACACATTTTGACTAATATCATTTGAGCAGATGTGTTGATTCTTGATTAGAATGTCAGTTCCACTGATGACTTCAGCATCTGCAAGAATTCTCATTTGCCAGATTTGATAATTAGTATCATTGAATATAGTTACAGTCTTAATATCTATAGCTCTTTGAACATCCTTTTGATATTCATGAATCTGAGATTTGAAATCATTCACAGATGTATCATTGTTGATATTTGAAGTGTTCTGACATGTCATTTGTTGGCAAAAGATCAACAAATCTGCTATACTCATTGTAATCATATCACTTGCATTAGGAGTAGACATTTGAGGCTAAGGGCTTGAAGTTCCTTCACTAGCTGCCATGAATTCACATATAGACTCAGGAGCAGGCGTTTCACCAGGCTCATGGCTTGATGAATTCATGGTGTGGTTTGAACTTGATTTCTGCTCCAGGCCTTCTAATTCTTCATCTTCATCTAGTGATAAGAACATTCCAACAGCTGTAGAATGCAATTATAAAGATCACTTTCTCTCCGTTAAAGAAGTAGATAGTCCAGTCATTAGATCAGAGAGTGAACTTATTCAGACATGTACACAGTCATTCTTAACATGATTTTTATTAAAAATCAGCTATGCAGACTCATAATCTGTGGGATGATTGAACCTTCTATTCAGAGAAGCTAGCTAGATTATTGCTATATTACATACAAGTGATCACGTGTGGGCGGGGTGGTCGTTAGGGCAACGCCACCCAGGCGGGCGTACGGCAGCCTATAGTGACATTTGGGTCAAATGGGTTTTTTTGATGGTTTTTATACTAGTGTTACCATGAACACGCACCAATCATATTCATTTAATTTGTAATCAAATAGAGCTTGTTGATTATAGCTCCTCTGTGTAAGAAAATTTTGTGATCAAGGCACACTAACTCTATTGATTACATGAGTGACAAGAATAGGGGTGAGAATAGGGGTAAGAATAGGGGTAAGAATAGGGGCAAGAATAGATCTGTGAGAAATAAGACTTATTATGAGAATAATAGCTAGCAAAATAATTCTTCACATTAGTATCAATCTTTACAGCGCATACTAAAATCTATCAAACATTCTACTAATCACCCTCAACTCTGAGGTCAAAAGAATCTATCAATCATTCTATCAATCACTCTCGACGCTGATGCCGAAATCTTGTCCCATTTGCAGGTGGGTCAAGATAGTTTGATTGTGTTTCAATTTCATCAGAATGACTCTTTTCCATCTCTGTCACAGTGTTTTCCATCTCCTTCTTTATATTTTCCTCCTCTGTCTCTGATTCCAGCTTCTCCCACTTGAACAATAGATCCTTTTCAAGCTTCATTGTCTTCAATTCATTAACTTTGTCTTCAGATTTTGTAGGGATTGGGGACGGCCGTCTTCGTTGGATAAGATTTAGAATGGGTAAATCAACTGAGAAAGCACGTTCGCGTTTGATCACTGATACGGAGGTATTCTCTTCTTTGACTTTGATATCTGGTGATTTGACTTTGATATTCTTTGGTTCCGACAGTTGTTCGATGGGGTGATTGGACTCATCATAGGTAACAAGACAAATGTGAATAATTGTAGTTGTTGAGGTTGATGAGTGCACTTTCTTAAATGAACTCAATAACTTTTCCAAATCCAACATCCAAACATCAGGAGTGAGCATAACTGCACCATCCTTTCCTGTAACTGAGGCAGAAATGAATACATCAACTGGAGAAACAACTGTAAGAATATTCTTCCAGGCTGTATCAAGTCTGGCAGTGATGATTTCTAGAAAATCCTCCATTGTGAAAAACACACAATCTGAGTAGATTTCATTTTGAATTTTTCGAATTGACTCCCAGTTATAGTGTGTTTGTAGTTTGGCATCATTGTATTCACACTTCCAAATATGAATAAGAATTTTGTAGGATTTTTGCAAGGAGGATAGTTGATTCAGCTCAGGTTTGATCGCAGGTTCTTTTATAGGTGATGTACGTTGAACTGGTGTACCAGCATTGGGGGTCATTTGTTAAACTTTTTGTGTTTTTTGAATGGCCAGTTGACGTGCTCGTTGAGGAGGTCCAGGATCAAGAATTGTGGCAGAGAGTGACGGTGTCAGAGCTGGAGGACTGGGACTATCTTCAATGACAATGATTTCATCATTTATTGAAGAGATGATGGAGGATTTTGGTGTGGATGGATTGGCTTTGCCACAATAAGGACAGGCAGCTTCACTATTACAGTGTGCTTCATGAGAAAATCCAGGACAATTGGGGCAGAATGGTGTCCACATAGTGAAGTAAATCAAGATGATAATAAACAACAAAGAGAAGAACAGGAAAATTTGAGTGTGTGTATATATATATCTGTTTTTGAGGGTAAGAGAGTGAGAGATTGTGTGTGTGTGTGTGTGTGTGGATTTCGGTAACCTGATTAGTATAATGATTAGTATAATAGCTAACTGCTTTGGGAGTGTTAGACATGATGAGTAATATTATAAAATATCTTCAAAGAGTTAGTTACAGTGTACACACTACAGAATATTTCTGTATCAATTAAGAAAATTGTTTATTGATATATATTTTAATACTGTCAATAACTTTAGATTGGAATATATAACTATATATGATTATAATTTTCAAGTTATAGAGTGTTTGAGTATATGAATACATATATTCTGTGTGTCCGGTGTACATACATTGTATATATATATATATATATATCTAGTTCAAAATTCATGTAGCACTACAATATAAAATTTATAGAATAATTGTTATAGTAACAAACTTAAAAAGTATATTCTTGAGAATATTAGTAGAATACTTAGTAGAATACTTAGTAGAATACTTATTCATATTCAATCTAATTACATCTGTGATACATCTGGCTTAACATATATACAGCGAGAAAGGCAATACGATCAGATAATTTATTGGTGTGATATAGACCTGTATGACTGAGATTCAGAAAATAGCGCTGAGAGAAGATTAGCATAAAGATTAGTATAATAATTAGTAGAAAGAATATGGAATTTCATACTCTCCAGTAATTTGCCAACTGTTTTGCAAGTTGTCCCCACCAAGATTCAATTCGTTGATTTAGTGTACTTGTTCCAAATCGATAGCACTCATTCAAAGAAGTATTTGAATCAGTTGCTTGATGTAGTTTGAGTTGTGCAGCTGCAATCATTGAAGTTTCGGTTCCTCTATCTGAACGAATAACCTGAGGAAAAGTATCGGTTGCTTGTAGAACATCAAGAAATTGTCGAAGAACAGAAACAGCAGTACGGTTTGTGATTCCAATATATATCCACACTATATATCGAGAATATGCATCAATTGCTGCATAGATTTCGATTCCCCAATGTTGAAGCTTGCAATAACCATCAATAGACCAAAGATAATTTGGTCCGGGAACAATGTAGGATCCTCGGTGACGTTGGAGATCATTTAGCCGACGTGTAATTCCATCTGGATCGAGAAGCCGAACTGTTTTGAATAGACGATCTCTGATTTTATTAGTATTATACTAATCATTATATTAATCAAAACATACCGTGAAATGCTATGCCCCTGCTGCCTAAAATGGGTGTACAGATGTCCTCTTCCAAAACCCTGAATAAATCCACTGTCAAGCTCTTTCTGTACAGTAGATATAAGCTCTTTCTGCATCTCATCACTCTCATAGTCATCTCTTCGCTGATGAAGTTTCAATTGCTGCCGAATTTGACGAAGCTCACGTATAGAGAGTTGAGACTCAGGATGCTTTTGTTGAATAACTGATAGAATATCAGCATCCTGCAAGCCTCGTGAAAACAATTCTTGAATAAGATTGTGAATTGATTCATCAGCTTCCCATTTCTTGGTTTTTCTAACATTCCATTTTCGAAGACAACGAACAAGAGTTGATCGACTAACTTCAAGATTATGATCTCGTTTCAATTGAGAGATAATATCTTGTTGAGTTAGATTGTGTTGATGAAGATTAATAATAAGATCTTTGTGAGAAAGAAGATATGAATAACCAGATGGAGGCATTTTAAAAGAAAGTGAAAGAAAAAGTATTCATCATTCTAAAATAAAGAAATAAAGAAAGAAAGAAAGAATGAATGAATGAATGAAAAATTGATAATATTATAACATCATAAAAAAAGTAAATAAGAAAATCAAAACAAACAGATAATGTACTAAACTAACTAAGTTAGCTTGCTTTAATATAAAAAAAATTTTCAACAAAAAACAGATTAGTAGAATGATTGCTATAATCATAAAAACAAAAAAAAAAAAAATCAACTTTCAGACTTAAAAAGCATGCACTCATCCGGGCTCCATCTCATTTGCATAAATTCCTCTGGAGTCATTTCCTCTTTCAAGGCTCTATGAGCCTGTTTACGAGCATCAATATCCTTTTCTGAATCTTCAGTCTTTTGCTCACTCCACCATCTCTTTGCCAAATTTGAGTCAATTTGTTCTGCACAAAGCAGCATTTTCAAAACAGAAAGCTCCTGATTTGAAATTTTTTTTAAAAATCGATGATGACTGGCAGTATTGTTGAAAGAATGATGTCGGAATTTTTGAAAAAGAGAATTGCTGATATCTTTCCATGAGAGAATCCACTGCTTGTATAAAACAGCAGCAAGACTTCCTCCTTTTTTCATCAGTTTCACCCCTTCCTCATACGCAGCCCGGGAATCTTCCTCAGTTGGCATATTTTCTTTACCAAACCGTTTTTCATCTTCCAGCCGCCATTTCACTTCTTGCATGGTGTCCTCAGAATCTAACAAATGATTCCATGCGGCAAGCCTGTGATAAATCATTAGAATGATTAATATAATGATTAGTAGAATATAGAACTTACTTTTCACTTGGTTTTGAGATATCTTCCTGTCTCTGCTCCAGCATCGATGCTGTAATCCCGGTGCTAAGTCTATATTCTATTAATATTTATATTAACAAGATTTCAAGATTTGTTAACTACCTTTTATTCATGATCTCTGTTCTTTTATCCTCAATCATCTTCTTTTGATCCTCAGTATTTGCCTCTCTGAATGCATCGGTATTTTTCAGCTGTCGAATATGATAATTTACTGCTGCACGATCTGCATTCTTCGCCCGTTCAATAGTGGCCTCCTCCTCATTCATTTTTTCCCTTCGTTTCATTGCTCTTTTTGTGTGAGGGTTAATCGACATTTCTTCTTCAGCTTTTCGTTTCTGGCCAGCTGTGGCTCCAGGCTTTGGTCCGCGGCGTGTCATTTTGATAGGATGAGAAAAAAACTGATCTTGGAAGTGGGAAACAAAGAATCTGGCGCAGGAAATAGTT